GTTGATTCTTGTCTTCTTGTGACACAGATCAAATATCTTCACTCAACTTGATTCTTTATTTCTAGGTAAAGATAAAGACGATTTATCTTTATTTCCTTGGCTCGTAGAAGATCAGGTGAGTGTTGTTCAATGCTTCAATACAATAAAAAGTATTTGCTTTAGATGTGTTAGGATCCATTGTTGTCTTGAAATATCTCACTGTTGTAGACATCATCAAAATCTATCTTCAGTGCAATATGATCCTAACAATCTTTGTGTTATGTTGTTGATGCTGGTTCAATCCTCTTTGCGTAAGACCATTCTGATTGGGATTTGAACATCATCTGATACATCCACTTATATTTTGTGGCTGGAGAAGAAGATCTTTTCAGCTTTTACTCTAGCAGCATTTTTTCAGCGGGCAACTAGGAGCTTGGTGACTTTCTGTTGAGAATCTCTTCTTTCCAGTGAGCACAACTTTGGTGACATCCTTGAAAACAGGATGTCATCTTTTTTCATAGACTAGCATGTGCTGAATAGACAATTCTTTCAATCATTAATATAAGTTGTGTTAATGATCTTGAGAATATCAGTTTGTTTATCCAGTCTTGACATTTTCATTCAACTCAATATTTCCATCATCTTTTTGACGTTTTGGTCCTTTCTTTCCTTTTAGAGGAGTAGTACCACTTGTGATACCATGAGAAACTCACAATTATCTTTTGATATTCATAAGCATCAGATGTCAATTGATGAATAATGAAGTCATTAGATATTTGTTTGTTCCATGATAATGGTTTCTCTCTTTCTCCCTTTATATCATTGAATCTCTTTTGAACCTTTTTTGATCCCTTTTTGTGAACTGGTTGACTTCTCAAAAATGTTGTCAACCAGAAGGGTATGTGATAGGTTCTCTGGTATAGGAGGATGTAAGGTGATGTGGAAATATATAGTTGGTTACTGGTCCATTTGTTAAGAGGTATGTATGAAAAATGGATAGACCAGTAAGTGTTTTTGGTTTTCTGGAGGTTGGGGACAGAATTGGTAAAGTCATATCCAATGCCAATCCAGTAGTATGATATTTATTAGTAATGAACTTAATGAGATCTCTCAGTTTTGTTCTTTATAAGATTAATCTTAATCATCAGATTATCCTCTTAGCAATTTACTATTTGGACTTTCTGATGTTTCAAGATTTTTAGTTTGTGAAAGGAATAAACTTATCTGAATGTTCTTTTGAGTGAAGCACAGATGGGATAACAGTTTGAACATTCAAGATAAACTGAGTTACTGGAGATGTGTTTGAATATACCTCTTCATGAGCATCTTTCTTTGATGGAGTTGGCCAAAATTGTGATTTCATGAGAGAAGGCTTGACTTCTTCTTGTTGTTGAACAACAGTCCCTTTCTTTGACTTTGTGAATCGAGAGTTTGAATAACAGCTTACTTTCTCCTTCCTTATTTCCTTTCTTTTCTTGAAGAGTATCCTTCATAGTTTTTTCCATCTCTATTGACTATAAGTGTTTTTGGGAAATTGGTGGTTGATCTTTTGTTCAAAATAAGCCGGTTAAGAAACTGACTCTATGAACAACCGCGCTGATACCAATCGATGGTCCCTGGTGAGGTAAAAGTCTAGAGGGGGGAGGTGAATAGACTTTTAAAAAATCTTTTCTTTTTCAACCCTTTTCCTCAAACAGAATGAGTTCCAATATCTTTTGAGAGATACTGGAACATACATCGGAAGTCTTGACCTCAAGAGACAGTTTATAGAAACAAATGTTATGACTCTTTTAGTTGTTATAGAGATGGATAGACAGAACACGTATGTATGAAGAATTAGATATATTGAAATAGGTCTCTTTCAAGTATGTAGGTAAGGAGTTTGATTCACAGAAAACTTAAAGGAGTTTTCTGGACAGTGAATATGCAAGTTTCTGGGATAGTATGAAGGTGAGTGAGAACTGAAGTGTGTGTTGGGTGCTGAATATAAAAGGTACACAGGATATATCCTGGTTCAGATGTGGTGTAATCCTCCTACATCCAGTCCCAACCTATTTCATATGGATTTCCACTAAATGAATATCCCATTACATTTAGTGCCCAATCTACCTTTGGCCCAAGCGTAGATTGTGAGGTTTTTCACGAGGAACTTAACACTGTTCCAAGCTACTCAGTCCTCCAAGGTTTTTCACTAATGGCATTGCCCATAAAAAGCTACTCTTGTCCTTGTCCTTCTCACCTTCTGGATTTGTTCACAAAGCCCTCCAGAATGTCTAACACTAGTTTAGTTTACATGGGTTTAAACTGAACTATCAACTAATCTAAGCTCTATAGATGTGTATGAATTATGAGCTATTCTAAGAGTATTAGATGAGTGAGGTGGTAACCAAAGTGGTGAAGGTGAATCAGCTAGCATGATGTGTTCCTATGAGTTTTGATTCCCTTCAGTTCCACTTGGTTCCTCTTTTTTCCACACTTGATCTTCCCGCACTCCTGTATTTATAGATTTTGTTGTTGAATGTCCTCCTTTGACCGAGTGATTCAATCTTGATCGTTGCTTGATCTACTTGCTTTATTCCACTCGACTGAGGCAGCATGGTTGATTCTTGTCTTCTTGTGACACGAATCAAATATCTTCACTCAACATGATTCCTTATTTCTAGGTAAAGAGAAAGACGATTTATCTTTATTTCCTTAGGCTCGTAGAAGATCAATTGAGTGTTGTTCAATGCTTCAATACAATAAAAAGTATTTGCTTTTAGTAAAATAATTTTATAAGAAACTTTGTCACATAATTTCTTATAAAATTACTTGTTATTCTTTTTGTCATTTTGACTCCAAGTTGGTCTTTTGTTTAATCGTTTCTGTGCTAAAGAGAAGAATAATAGATTTCGGTATTTAATCATAATACCATGAGCTCTTCTCTTCTGGTGTCAGCATAAGACCAGTTCTGATGATGACCAGAACACAAGGATAGACCATGAGGTCTTCTGGTGTCATCAGTGTAGACCAGTTCTGATGATGATCGGAATTTAGGTCTTCTGGTTCCATCAGAAGGTCACCAAAAGGTTTTCTGATTAAGTATCCAATTTCATAAGAGCTTCAGTTGACTCTTTTCGTACCTTTTCTTTTTGTTTCTTTTCTTTTTGTTTTATGGTACGTTTCTTCTCTTTTTAGTACTCTTTGTTTTTCTTGAGTACTTTTATCACTAATATAGTAGCACATTACAATAAACAAGGTGGAACAAATACAAGCTCTAGTCTAAAAAGAACCTGTATTTGTTTATCAAGGGAACTAGGGACAATTAATTAATTAAATTAGAGGTAAATATGTAATATTTAGTCCTACTTAAGAAAAATCAAACATATGATCATACTTTAAGAAAAATGCTATGCTTTAGTCATACCATGAGTAATTTCCTCTGTAATTCATATATCAACACATTGTTCTACAAGAATAAATGAAGCATAAGAATCCATATTTATTTTTATTAAAAACAAAACTCAAAGTTTCAAGAATGTTCAAGAATATTGGTCATTTTATTAATGAGTAAGAACATTAATCGTTACAAAAGCGTTACACTCATTGCTACATGTGGTACAAGCAAATATGCAATCAAGCTTTTCTTCTTAAAAGTTGTTTTCTTTTTCATTTCTATCTTGTAAAATTTTGTATACTTATTTACTGTTATATATTTATTAGTTTGAAATTATATTTTTATGTGTTAGCGATTTAATGATGAAAGAAAGTAATAGTTAAAATATCTTTTTTCTTAATGGTTAACTGACGACGTTTAGAATTGCACCGATGTAATACTATCGATTCTTATATCGGTTCTTCCAAAAACTTCTAGAACTGAACCGATATGAGATTAACGAATCGATGGGGTGGGGGCAAGCTGAAGAAGAAGAACGGAAGGAGAGGGGTGGGGCGAGCTGGGTTGAAGAAGAAGAAGAAAGATCGAAGGGGAAATGGTAGTTTGACTAAAGAAGAAGAGAGTTAGGGGAGGGGAGGGGAGGGGAGGGATGGGGTGGGAAGGGATGAAGAACCGATATAACAAAAGTCCACAGAAATCTTTAGGGTATGTTTGGGAGTTTGGAGGGGAAGGGAGGGAAAACTTTGGAGGTATGTTGTTGGAGGGGAAAGGGAGGGGAGAGTGAGGAAACCCTTCTTTGTATTTGAGAGTAATAAAATTGGAAGGAGAGAATTTTTGAAGTAATTATAATTAAAAAACACTTTGAGATATTACAAATTCAAATCATTGATCTGGTATTCATTATTTGGAGGGTTTTGAATTGGGGAACTTAAAAATTAAGTATTTGGAGGGTTTTGAAGGGGTACAAAAACACTCCAAAACCACCCGTCAAAATTTTTAAACTCCCAAACATAAAAAAGATGTCATAAATCCCCATTAACCTTCCCCTCCCCTCCAAAACCCAACTCTCAAACACACCCTTAGTGAAGAGAAGAGACAATTACAGAGAATTAATGTAATAAGAATGAGTTAAAAGTCCATGAGAATCCATGATTTTAGAAGTCAATATCAATGAACAGAACTTTGAATACACCTAGACTTTTATAGACTTTTTAAATTCTACATCGAATACACTTAGGGGGTGTCCTCAACACATATTTTAAATGATTTTAAAGGATTGTATATTCCATGGATTTTAATAGAATTCTACATATTCCATGAGATTCATATGGAATTCTATGTAATTCAATTTCATAGAATTATATGGATTTCAATGGATTTTAATAGATTTGAAATACAAGCCGATGTAAACCGCTGCCCTAGTCATTAGCTCCCACACCTGCTCAGCCGCCGCAAAACGTCGGAAAAGATGTTAGAATATTTTGATAAAAAAAATTTCATTTTTTTTTGCATTTTTTTCAAAAACAAATAATGCTTCAAAACATAAGACTACATCTGGTTTAATTACATAAGACTACGTAACTAAGACTACATGTTAATAGCTATTATGCTTCGTAAATTTATTACTTCCAAATAAAAAAATAACTGCAGCACCATTACATTCCCTGCAGCACCATGTAATGATGTAATCCACCTGTCTACGGGACAAGCGCAATATCATCGTTTATGGTTCGAACAGAGTACAACTGCTATTTTTACTTACATTTCTTTCTAAAACTTTCTGCTCTTGGAAAGAAAAAAAAGCTTTATTTGCAAATCCATTATTACTTTCACATGCAAGATCCGTTCAATTCAAAGTCGATGATGAACCAGCCGCTGTCGTTCTCATCCGCATTGAAGCCGTCGCACCACCGGAGAGCTCACTCTGAGGTGAACTTCCGGTTGCCAGAGGATCTGGATCTGGCTTCGGACCCGTTTGATGGGGCTCCAGCCGGGAGCTTTGAGGAGATGGGATCCGAGGAGGATTTCTTCTCCACCTACATGGACATGGAAAAGCTAGGCGGCGGATCCAGCGCCGCTGATGCCTCCCCATCTCCGGGACCTACTGACGGTAAGGGCAATGGGGAGAAGACCTTCGAGCGGCCTCGGCATCGATATAGCAACTCCGTGGATAGCTCGAGCTTGATGCTTAGCGAGAGTACAATTGAAGCTAAAAAAGCTATGGCCCCTGATAAATTGGCTGAACTCTGGACTGTTGATCCCAAACGAGCTAAAAGGTAGCATCTATACATAGTTCATTTCCTTCATTTCTTTCATACTACATTTCTGTTTTGAAATAACAGTCAACACTATCGTGAATCTGGATAGGGTTCTAGTGTATGATTTGCTCCAGAAAGTAGCACTAGATTCGTCCTGAAAGGACCTCACTTTCGATCTTTTTGGTTGTATAGAGTTCGATCGAGTCAAGTTCTGACTACAGCCTCCAATGACTTTGACCTCACTTCTACAGCCTTCAGACCGATCTTTCTTCTTTTTAGATGTTCCCTTTATTAATTCACTGAAGAGGAACTCGACTAGTTTGATCTCTCCCATATGAATGAATTACTATTCTGTAATTTGAAGTTAAAAGAAAGAATGTCCAGGGTTTAAAACGCGGACTGCAACGCCCGATGCGGCTGCAATATTGTGGTTGCAGGCGGCTCTGCAATCACATCAGGCCGCAAAGGCGGTGTTTTTTTAATTCACAGCCAAATGTAACTGCAAGGCAACTGCAAACGTAACCGCATCGGGCTGCATCACGATTCACGACCACAACACTAATTTAATCTTTTTCTTATTTTGTTTGAACGTAAAATTAATTGACACCGCATCGGCCGCATTACGCATCACAGCGGCCGCAACCGCAAATGCAATTTTAAACCATGAGAATATCTATTAAAAATATTACATATTTAGTGTTCATTTATGATTCACTTTTGTCATTTTGTTATAATGTTATATGGAGTAATTAATACTCCGTAATTACATTGTAATCGCCTTCCATATTGTATGGACTCATGTCATATATAAAGTATAAACCCCATCGTACAATGTTATGATTACTAGAATGACCTAATAGGCTAATACACAATACAAGTTTTGAAAATTATAGGTGGAAAAGTTTCCTTTTTTAAATCTATGTTTGTTGATAACTGTGGACAGGATTCTGGCAAATAGACAATCAGCTGCCCGGTCAAAAGAGAGGAAGGCACGTTATATATCTGAACTCGAGAGAAAAGTGCAGACCCTTCAGACAGAAGCGACCACACTTTCTGCACAGCTTACTCTGTTCCAGGTTTGATGCAATAGATACATGGATTTGCAGAAATTTTTGCAACTTTAGGCTGTCTGCTTTCCGGAAAATAACTTGCTGTGGGAATTATTGCTGACCTGTTAATGATTTCCTGGAGAATGTTTTCTTGAGAAATAAATTGTGTCATGTATGAATAATACAATGTTTGACCCACAAAATGGAAAACTTTAAATTACTTCGGGCAAATGATCACAAAAGTTTAAAGAAATAATCACAAAATAAATATTTTTCTAGTGCTAAATGCATGAAAATATTTGCCAGTTTCCTGTGAAAATCGATAACACCTTTCAGGAAATATTTTCCTAGAAGCAATCAGAGCCTTAGTATGAACAATGGCCTAAGACTAGTCCTAGTAAAGAACGGTTTGATATTTGAAGAATGGAACTTTCAGTCCTAGAATACAACCTTATTTCTAGCAACAAATAATGTGTAAAAGACATTGTATCCCCTGTTCATGTTGTAGTCAATGTTGTGTCCTCCTTACCAATCTCTACTGACTCCAATTTCTTTCACAGAGGGATACTACAGGGCTTAGTAATGAAAATACGGAGCTTAAACTTCGTTTGCAAGCCATGGAACAGCAAGCTCAATTACGTGATGGTATGTATCTAGAAGAACCTGGCTTCTCACTTCATAAAACCAGGCCAAATGAAAAGGAAAAATATCATTTCTTTAGGGGTCTGCTTGGAACCTGGCAAATACTAGGGAAAAGATGAGGAAAGTGAAGTGCAAGTAAATTGGAACGAAAGAAACTTTAGATCAAAATAATGAATAAGCTCAAATTAAGTGAATTTATTTAGATATTCGTTTGAACTCCTTTACTTATTACTTATTTATTTATTTGTTCATATACTTCGTATTTATTTTAAATTTAAGGTTCTAAAAAACCTAAGTATATGAAGAAAAAATCATCATATTTCATTTGCACAATTGCACTTCCAAAGGTAAGAGCAAATATTAGAAAATTAGCTTTCCGTACCATTTTTTCCCTCTAGCATTTTTTGTGACCCAAACATACCATAAGGGGTCTGTTTGGAACTCATAAATGAATAGGGAAAGAAAATGTAAATGAAATATGGATGAAAAGAAAATGAGGGAGAAAGTCAAAGATAAGTTCCCACTCAATAAACTATTTTAGATGTTTGTTCAAACCCTATGTTATTTATTTATTCTATTATAGAAAGAATCATCATCATCACCACCTCAGTGCCGCAAAGGCTCCCCACCTACGGTGAGGTAAGGGGATCAGATGTATGCAGTCTTATGACTCTTATCCCTGTACTAAAACATAAAAAGACTATTTCCGAATGACCCATAGTGAAAATCGCGTCAAAAATTATATGGACGGACTGCTCCTTCATAACAGTTTAGTGAGCCATGCTTTATTCCATCATATTCCCAAGCCAAAAAATAGTGAGTCTTTGACTCCATTGCAAAATAGTGAGTCTATTATAGAAAGAATAAGATATCTAAATTCATATGAAAATTTTGTAATCATAAAAATCATATAAGAAAATAAGTCTCCTTAGAGGGTGATGGGAAAAACTACTTACTACCATTGCGCTGATCTCAGCAATTTTGTTTTCTTTAAATGTAGCTCTGAATGAAGCGCTAAAGAACGAAGTTGAAAGACTCAGAATAGCTACAGGAGAAATATCAGCCTCTCCTTCTGATGCTTACACCTTGGGAATGCAGCAAAACATTCCTTATAATAACCAATCTGCTTTTTTCTCACACCAGCTCAGCTCAAGTGACTCCCAAAACATACATATCCCACAATTTCACCCCCTCCAGCCAAACACATCTACCCTACACAATCACCACATGCTCTCTTCTGCATCATTACAGGCGCTCACAGACGCACTTCAGCAGCAAGATCCTCTTGGGCGTTTTCAGGGTCTTGATATAAGCAGCAGCAGAGGGTCACATCTTGTGAAGAGCGAAGCCCCTTCCATATCAGCCGGTGAAAGCAGCTGTTCTTGAAATATAGTCCTATTTTGTCAAAAATGTTAATAGACTGACACCATTTTTAACATACTTGAATATCATTATTCTTCAATTTTTTCCCCTCCATTCAACTTGAGTCCTAGGTTCTGTTATGTTCAGCTCAAAAGTGTCTGGATATTCTTTGATGTGTTGCCTATGGGAGGTGAGGTCATCTCCAATAGGCAACACATTCAACTGTCCTAGGTTTTATTATCTGCAGCTCAAAAGTCTGGCTATTCTTTGATGTGTTGCCTATGTGAGGTGAGGACTCTTGTGAAAGACAATCTATTCCATTGTCTTACATATGGATTTTGACTTGTGATAGTGTATTATTTTGGTTTTATTTCATTATTGAAAAAGGACTCATTTCAACGTTGAGACTGAGGGTATTACCTACAGGCTACGGGTGAACACCATTCTGATCAGGAACCGGAGTGGTGATATATAAGGTTCTACTACGTATTTCGGAACAGGAACAGGGACTGCCTTTACAAAGACAGTGCATATACTGAATGTTGTCCTAAGAGCCAGGCACATGAATGTGTTATTTAAGGTTTCAATCAAATAGAGCTGAAAATGATGGTTTCCGAAGATTTAGAACTGGAATTGGTCGAAACCATATTGCTCATTGTCTTACTTGTCCTTACCATGAACACACCCCTCCATGCTCAAGGCTATGTTTCAATTGCTGAAAATAGTAGGGAAATAAAAGAAATTTTCAAAGTGGTATCCTAATGTTTGTATTTACGGTGGAGAATGCAGAGGATATTGTAATATGAAAAAATGTACTTACGTTGTTATGAGTGAATAAAAATGTATTGTGACAAATATTAAATAAAATTATTGAGTTTGAACTGATAGTTTACTATCCTAACATTTTCATTTCATAATTTCGTCATTTATTTTCCTCAAAATGCACGCTAGTTGTTTTCTCTTCTTTTTGTCAATATTGAGAACTGGTTGCAATTCCTCTGTTTATTGTAAAAACTTACCATTAGTTTTTACTACATTTCCCAAAATATACCCGTCACTTTTCTCATATGACACTGAAGGGATGGACTCGGGCCGGGCCAACCGGCCCGGAACCGGACCGGCCCACTACTGTGCGGGTCCGGGCCGGCCCGGTGAACCGGTTGGTTGGCCAGTTCGGGCCACCCGGCCCGGTGGGATGGCGGTTCGGGCTCGGGCCCTTCAAAAGGTGAACCGGCCCGGGCCATTTTTTTTTTTTTTTTTTAGTTTTTGGGTTGGGTTGGGTATTTTGGGCCATTTGAGGTGGTTAGGGTTGGTTTGGGGGTGAGGGGGAGGGTTAGGGGTTAACTAGGAAAAGGCAAAAAAAAAAAAAAAATTGAACCGAGGCCCGGCTTGTCCGGCCCGGACCCGGGGTTACCCGGGCCGGTTCCGGGCCTCTCCTTCATGAACCGAGGCCCGGCCGGGCCCAGGCCTGAACCGGGTCCGAACCGGAACCGGTCCATCCCTGTGACACTAACACACATCTAAAAAGTTAATGTAAAAACATGGTCGGATGTGATCATATAATCTGTGATTCGATTACAGAGTCTCCAAGCCCTAACAAATACTCCCTCCGTCCCTTAAAGGTTTGCCAAGTTTGACTGACACGTAAAATAATACAGTAAAAAACTATGTGGTAGATATTTGTGCAGAGAAGAGAGAAATAACAGGAGTCACAAATTGATTGATTAAAAGGGAAAGTGTCAAAATTTTTGGAACAACCCAAAAAGGAAAGTTGACAAAGTAAAAAGGGACAGAGAAAGTATGATACAAACAAATATAATGAGAAATAAAACCGATGTAAATATAATTTGATAGAGTGAGTGATCTATAAAAGCTCAAATGTTGAAATTCTAAATTTTGTCCCCTCTTCCCTTTTTTTTGTAGATGCTCTAACCCCGGCCCTGTAGTACTAAATTTCATGTCACACTATTACTAAGATTTCAACCATGTTTTGTGTACACGGACAATTTGTTTGTGCGCAGATAACATTTTTCGTTTTGTGAATTTCGTTTTGTGAAGAGAATTGTTTTTCACTCACACATTTTTTTATTTGTGACACAGACAATTTTTTGTCAGTGCGAAAAATGATTCTCTTCACAAAATGAAAAATGTTTGTACAGAAAATTTGACCGACGTATAAATTGACATGTAGAAGTTGAAGTGTACAAATATCATTTTCCTTGAGATTTAAGGTATGAGATACATGTGTACCAAGTGGTCAGTTGGTTCTCAACAAGCTTCTAATAAGGCAAACAAAAGTTTGACGTCCGTGTGAGGTACTTTTTATTATTCACATAATGCATCCACGTCTACAAATATTAATGTCACCTACAATTCCTAGCCTGTTCAAGTGAAGTAGAATGCTTGGATCCTAGTCTTGCACGTTCTTGATCTAAAGAATGCCCTTTTTGGGTGTTAACATCTTTTAAAGTTAGTTGTTGAGAGCCTTGTTTCAATAGCCATTGGTATGGTATTAGCAATATATTGCAGCCACCGGAGAGCATCAATAAAGGAGAGATTGCGAAAAACTTTGAATTCATTTTGGGCTAGTTTGGATTCAGGTAGTATAATTATGAGACAAGGGTTAGATTGGTCCTCGAAGTTGCATAAAAAGGGTCAAATAAGTCCTTATATAGGAGGCTATGTCCGGCCGTCGTCTTTCGGGCGGTCTCCGATTGAATTGTTTGATGAATTTTTTTGAGCATCTTATTCATTAGGTCCATTTTATTTGTAACCTGAAGGTTACTTCCTAAATCAAAACAAAAATAGATAAAGTTCATAAAGAATTTTCTTTAAATTTGGAGGTTACTTCCTGATAGACTATATCTAGAGAGAAGTGAGAGCTAGAGAGAGAAGTGCAATAATATGCTTCAATAGAATGAATTTGTAACCCCTATAACTACTCCCAAGGGGAGTATTTATAGAGAAAATACGGGCTGGGATCCCAAGCCTTGGGCTTGGGAGGCCCATTTACAACTGGACCGCTACTGGGCCGAATACAAAGCCACTAATGGGCTGTACGAATGAGTAAGTATAAAATCCGGTTCTGTGAGGTCTTCATGGCCGACGAGGGCGTGGCCGACGAGGGCACGGCCGACGAGGGCACGGCCGACGAGGGCACCCGGGTTCCTTGGGCTCAGGACCATAATCTGAGTTGGCACCTTCTCGGCCGACGGGGGTCCCTTGGCCGACGTGGGCGCCACTCGGTGTCTTGTGCTTTCTGTTCTTCTGAGTATGTGGGTCCAGGGGCTCAGACCCATATACTCCATCAGGAGTCCCCCACTCTCTAAGCTGAGGCGTAGACGAAGTGAATGAGAGTAGATTCCCGTGCTTTAGTGCTTTTGGCTGATGCGGGCATTCCCAGGCCGTTAGCTGTTGCGGCGTTGGTGCTGTTTCCATTTTGGTGATCCTGTTCTGTGCTTTGACCGTTACCTGCTCCTCGCTGTGGACGGGGAGGCCGTTGTTTACTTGATGTGTTCGTTTGGGGACGATGAGTGTCCTGCTTCAATGGTGGCCGTTGAAGGCGCGCTTTCCCTTTCTTGGGTGTTGATGATTGAAGTTTACCTTTGGGCCGGTGAGGCCGTTGAGGTTGATCCTTGCTTCGAGGACGATGGCGTCCTTTCCTTTGGGTGGCCGATGAGGGTGTTTGCGCACTCCTTTTGGCCGTCGCTGATTGGCTTTCGTGTTCTTGGCCGAAGAGCCCATTATGATTAACTGCGGCGGAGGACGATGAGTGTCCTTGCCTTAGGTGGCTAGTTGGCCGTTGCTGATGACGTTGTGTGCCTTTGGCCGACGATGTGGCCATGCTTTGTGGTTACATTGTTCTTTGCATTTTTCCTTTTTGTTTTGTTGAGGCCGGTGTAGTCCCCCAGTCCCCCACTGCTTCAGGCCGAAGAGTGTGAGGGGTGAAGGAGTTGCTTGAGTCCCTGGCCGAAGCGGCCTCTCCGTAGTGCCCCTGAATCCAACCCTCATGGCGATTTTCTGGCCAAGGTAACCCTGTGGGAGAACCCTTGTGCGCAGATCGCTTGTAAAGAGTTATCATCAAGGGTCGTTACGAGGAGCCGATGGCTGTGGGTTCTTTGTTCCTTTGGTTCTGTGGCCGTTACGGGCGTTCATTACGTTCCTGGCCGTTGTCATCTCCCTATTGTTGGCATTTGTGAACTTGGCAAGCAAAATAGGCCGTTGTGGGCGCTTGCTGTCACTTGTGAAGCCGGCAAGCGTATAGGCCGTAGAGTCTGTTTTGCCAGTGGGCTCTTGATATGTAGGTTGGGCTTGGCCTGTTGGTGACGTGGTGGCCTCCCATTGGTGGCCGTCGATGTGGCCATTGGGAGGGTGCCACGTGTAGTGACCGTTGGGTGGGTGGTTCTATAAATACCCCTCCCCCTCCGACGAGAAACCTCATTTGCATTCTGAGTTGTCGAAGTGCTGGCCAAATTTCTAGAGAGATAAACTCCCAAGCTTGTTCTTCGTGTTCTTCGTGTTCAAGGTTAGTGTTCATCGCAATCTTCTGTACTTTGCATACTTTGCTTCCTAGGCTAGTGATCTAGTGTTAGGCACTTGAACACCCTTAGATCCTAAGTTATTCCCCTTAGGCTCGTAGTAGTTGTTATGATGAAGAGCTTGAACGAAGACTACTATCCGTACGACGACCAGCCCTCCACTAGGTCACTCGACTATGAGGTGCTTGAGGAGTTCGAGGAGGAGATACAACACTTAAGTCCTTACAAGTCCGGAGAGCCGGTGGACGACGAAGTTGAGGATGAGGAGTCTGCCTCGTCTTCAAAAGGTGAGGACGCAGGTGCGTCCCGAGTGGTGGACGGGGCGTCCACTTCCGCTGTTATTCCATGCCCGAGACCGGTGTCTGCCGTGAAGGGAGCAGATAAGCCGAAGAGAATAAGGAGGCCGAAGAGTGGGCCGGGCGTCTCCTACCTGGATCTCACAAACATCTTCCTGATCAAGCCGGAGAGCAGCGCGGCCGACTACTTGGTTGCCCAGATGTACGTGGGGCCGTTCGGGCGGGTTAGGGCACCCAGGTCGACGGACCATGTTCTTCATCCGCCACCGGGATACTTTGGAGTATACCCGATGAGTTTCGCCAAGGGGCTGAGGTTTCCCCTTCACCCCTTCATCACCGAATACATTGACATGGTGGGGCTCCCTCCGACCTTGCTGACGCCGAACAGCTACTCTTTGATGGTGGGGTTTTTGCTCCGTTGTGAGGAGCTGGGCTACAGGCCGACGACGGCTCTGTTCATGAATCTGTATCAGATAGGCCGAGGAAGCCATAAAAATTGTGCGGCCTATGCTACTCTCCAACAGCTGCCGAAGAAGAGGAGCTTCACGGACTTGCCTTCGTCCATTCATGGGTGGAAGAGCAAGTTCGTTTTTGTATCCCTTGGTGAGAATGGCACCGAGTTTCCCTCTCTCGGCCATACCGGGAGGTTCAATCTGCACGACCCGCCGAAGAGTTCTATCTTGGACGCTCAGGTGGAGGCGTTCTTGGAAGGGGGGCCGAGGAGCGTGAAGGACTATATCACCAAATACAAGATGACCGCCCTCGACTTCTTAAGATACCATGTATATGGCGACAAGGAAGACGATATCCAACTTTGGCCGAGGATGACGACTACTTTCGAAGAGGCCGACGGCCCGGATTTGGGCATTCCTGCTGAGGCCGATGGTAATTATTTCTTCGGCTTTCTTCCTTTATAATTTGTTCTTTTGCCTTGCTAATCTGTTCGTTTTCCTTTGTGTAGATTTTGCCATGGATCGCCGTTCAATCATGGCTATTGCCAAGGCCAAGGCGGCCGAGGAGTTGGCTGCAAAGGCGGCCGAGGCGGCCAGACGTGCCGCGGCCGAGGGAGGCGGGGCTACTGCTGGTGCGGCCCCAAAGCCTGCTCAGTTTAAAAAGAAGAGGCCTCCCACTGACGGCCAGAAGAAATTGACCGAGGCCGGCCTGAACGTCACTAAGAAGACGAAGAGGGCACCGTCTCCTTCCCAGGCTACTGAGGCCAGCACTCTGACCGTCCCCAGTGTGGACGATAGTGGTCCTGTTGTGGACCTCACTGCTGCTCCAAGCGATGCTGCCCAATCGCTCCCTCTCGTCCAGGAGCCACGGACGAAGAGGGCCGGCAAGGAGATTGTCGCTGCTACCTACCAGAAGATGGTGGAATACCCCGTCGGCGGGGGTGTTTTTGATGATGTCGTCCTCAGCCACGATGTGCTGGCCCAGGCCATGCCGGCCAAAGATAGGGCCTATCTGAAGAGGCTCGGGGACGTGAAGGTATACGAAGGCGGGATGGACCTTCTTGTCCAAGTAAGTTCCCTTCCTTTTATTTATCGTTTTTCTCGTCGTCCGGGTGGAATCCTTTGCCTGAGTTTTGTTTGCCTTTTTTATGCAGGGTGCCTTCATGCTCATGGAGAGCCACAAGAGGCAGTATCGGGAGATAGCTCGTCTGAAAGAGCTGGAGCAGAAAGCTGCCTCGGACGATGAGGCGGTAGCTTGCTTGGATCGGCTCCGGGAGGATGCCAAGGCCTTGCAACAGAGGGCCGACGAGGCCGCTGCAGCCAGGGACGATGCCCTGGCCAAACTCGAGGAGAGCCAGAGGGCGCTTGAGGCCGAACGACGCAAAAACGATGAAGCCATGAAGGCGAAAGCTGAGGCCGAGGCTGCCGCTGTGAAGGCTGCTGATGAGGCCGTTAAGCAGTTCCTGGCCGAGGGGTGGAGGGCCGATGAGCGGCTCTCCTGGTGCTATATGAGGTGGTGGCCGCTAAGCTTGAAGATTGGGGGATGAACTCCCCCGCCGGCCAGGAGTATTTTAGCAGGGAGATGGCCGTGTACTATAACATGGGCCAGGAGCGGATGCAGAGGCTCCTGTGTCGGCGGCTATCTCGTGCTCTTAAGGCCATGAATTATACTTCCGGGTGGGCTAGACGGAACTTGAAGCTTCCCAAGCTGATGAAAGATCCCGAAGAGCAGGCCAAGCTTCCTCTGACGGAGCGGGAGTCCCCCATCGAGAGTTCCGGCCTTGGCGAGCCGGATTACACGGAGTTTGACTTCCTGGACGATGCTACCAGTTCTGCGGCTGCCGCCGGCCAGGAGACTGAGGCCGAGGAGGGAGCCGAAGATGTCGAAGGGCCAGCCGAGGATGGAGGCGCCCAAGAGGCTTGAGCGGCTACTCCCCGCTCCCTTGTAATTAATTTTCTATTTTTGCCCAATTGATGTAATGGCCGAAGCGCCCACCATTGTACTGAATTGCTTATGAATGAAAATTTTGCTGTCCTGCTCGGCTTTGAATTTCTTGTATGTTTATTGCCCTTTGCCATTTCAATTCTGAAATTCGTCTAAGTGTAAAAGTTACAACTTGGGTCACCCGCGAGTGTCTGCTACGTCCGTGAGGTAGTCCATCCTGTTCGGTGGCCTGGTCGGCCTGGCCGTCGTTTCTTTACTATCATAACACTTAGGATTTATTCAAAAATTTCCTAAGTATTTTGGGTCCACTTAAGTGCTTTCCTTTCCGTCCCTGACCGTGGTGTCCGCTCCGTCCTGGCGTTGTCCCATTCTTCTTTTTTGTTAGAATTTTTCTAAGTGTCTAACTTCAAGTAGATGGGTGTTCTCATCGTCCTGGTATTGAATCTCTCCTCATTATTGACAAATGATTTGGGAGATTTCCTAAGTGTTGAACCAATGTCGTTGTCGGCCCAGTGTTTTTCATGGCCGTCGTGTTCCCTCGTTCCTGATCTGATCAGGAAGGTCGGCCTGGATCCTTGTGTTGTGGCCGATAAGGGTACTTTGAACTTAGTTTTTTGAACATAGAATTTTTTCTAAGTACACATGCAAGGCGTAGGTAGCTAACGGCCTTCGAGTATACAGGTACCCGCTTCGTCTAGAGTTTCTCCATTTAAGTACTTAGAGATTTTTCTAAGTATAAGACATAGTTCATCGGCTAAGAGATGGCCCTACCTTCATCGGCCAAGGTCTGGCTTGTGGCCGATGAGGGTGCCCCTTGCTTTCCCAAAGAGACGGCCCTACCTTCATCGGCTAAGACATAGTTCCTTCTTGAGGAACCTTTTTCCTCAGAATTTTCTCTAAGTGTTTGGTAAACACTTGGACAAATCCCCAAAAAACTTTCGCTTGACCAACAACCTGAGTTTCAGTGCCTGTATCGGCCATCCAGGATGTTGTGGCCAGTAGGGATTGTTTTCTTGATTGCTTGATTCTTCCGCGGGTGTGATAAGTGCCCGCTTCGTCCTGGTCATCCTCAGGATTGTGATTCTTCATTTCATACCAAGCGTTGGTGCTTCATAGGGGTTGTGGCCGATGAAGGTTACCTCTCGCGTGTCACCCAACCGATTCGGTTAGGGTTTTATAGGCGTATGCTTCGGCCTTGACCATTCCCTTGTGGTGTGTGGATGTATCGTCCATGTCACCCGTTAGTGGTACTACATTTGTGTTCAACTGATATGTACTTGGCCTAGTTGGGCCTGAATTGTGGGGATTTTATTTTTTCATTGCTCGAGGCCGGCTAGTGCGCACGGCCATCGGCTTCCCTCTTTTTTTTTTGTTTCCGTCCCCTTTTTCGGGGAGTATCCTTCTTTCAGGCTTCGGCCGAAGGGTGTGCTCGTCCTTCGGCCGGTTCGGACTTCGTTTATAACGTCCGTGATCTCAGGGAGGGTCCCATCGCCTATTTATGACGCGGGCTAGACTTTTGGTCGGTTTCCAACGGCTGTCGTTGCCCATCCCTGAGTTTTGGGATTTTGTCACCTCGGCCATGATTTCAGACCTGCCGTCCTGCGATTTGGCGCGTGGACGACGCAGTGAGCTTCCCGTTTCAAGACGTGGGCCGTTTCCGGGCCCCTCGTCCTGGGGACATCGTCGGCCATACCTGAGCGTTTCACTTCTAGGCTTACGGGGCCAGGACGATGTGCTCTCTCAGCTAGGCCTGAGCCCTTCGCTGATACAAAATACAATGGAACGCCTGATCTTGTCGATCGTAGGCTACAAATGCAAGGGGCCCCGTCGGCCATGCCTGAGCCTTTTGCTCTAAGGTGGCCGATGAGGGCGTCTGCTAATGTTTTTACTTTAAATTCCAGAGAAAAAATCAAGAGGAACATGATTTTATTCATAAGTGGCTCGAGGCCGAGGGTGGTGTTCAATCAGTAACCCGTTAAGGGGTGAGGGATTCGTCGTCTGCACCTCCTTCGGATTACTGATAAAACTTCACCAAATGGTGTACATTCCACGTTCGTGGTACATTGGACCCATTCAGGCGTTTAAGCTTGTAGGTGCCGGGTTTGACCACGGCACTGACGATGTAGGGCCCTTCGTACTTCAATGCTAGCTTGCCACCCTCTGTCGGCTGGCTTGCTTCCCTTCGGCGGAGGACGTAGTCCCCCACCTGAAATTCCCGGGAACGTACCTTGGCGTCATAGTATGATTTTACTTGACGCCGGTAGTTCTCTGCTCGGACGTAAGCTTGCTCACGCCTCTCATCGACCAGGTGCAGGTCAATCTTCATGCTTTCTTCGTTGGTGTCAGGCTCGTATTGTTCCACCCGTCGGCTGGGGATGGCAACTTCCGTGGGCGCCTTTGCTTCAAAGCCGTAGCATAGGGCGAAAGGCGTTTCACCTGTCGCCCTCCTCGGCGTGGTTCTGTAGCACCACAGGATGTTGGGGAGCTCGTCGACCCAACTACCTCCTGCGGACTGGAGTTTCTTCTTCAGCCCCTCCATGATTGTTCTGTTGGCGTTCTCGACCTGCCCGTTGCCCTGAGGGTAGGCAACGGAGGAGAAACGATGCTTCACCCCAAACTCCCGGAGGAGCTCCTGGAAGGGGGCTGCCTCGAATTGGGTGCCGTTGTCTGATATAATCTCCTGGGGGACGCCGAAGCGTGTGATGATGTTCTTGTAAACAAATTTTTGGCATCTAGCCCCCGTGATGCTGGCCAGGGGTTCCGCCTCGACCCACTTGGTGAAGTAGTCGACGGCGACGATGATGTAGCGGTTGTTCCCGGCGGCTCTGGGCAGGGGGCCGACCAGGTCAATCCCCCATCTCGAGAATGGAATTGCGGTGCTGACGGGGGCGTAGTTGACGGCTGGCCGACCAGGGGCCTTCTGGAGCACCTGGCACGTGGTACACCTCCTGGCCAGGTCCGCACAGTCTCGCGCCATCGTCGGCCAGAAGAAGCCCTGGACGACGAGGCGTCGGGACATGCTAAAAGGGCCCTGGTGCGAGGAGCAGACGCCGCAATGAACTTCTTCCATGGCCATGTCGGCCTCGTCCTGGTGCAGGCATCGGAGGAGAGTGCCATTATAGGATCGTATGTAGAGTCTGCCATCTTCGATGGTGTAGCTTGGGGCCCTGAGTTTGGCAAGTTTGGCCCTCTCCTCGTCCGGGGGCAGCTCCCTCGTCGTGATGAAGGTGACGATGTCGGAGATCCAGTCCTCGGGTCGCTGTTGGACGCACAAGACGGGGCTGGCATGGATGCTGGACATGCTCAACTCCTCGATCTTGGCCAACCGGGAGATGTGCTCCGGGGTGTCCGAGCTGAGTTTGGAGAGGATGTCGGCCTCGGCGTTCTCGGCCCTTGGGATCTGTGTGATCTCGTGGGTTTCGAACGCCTTCAACAGCTCCTCCGCTGCTTGTTTGTACTGCTTCATCCGGCCTTCCTTTGCTTCGTACGATCCTTCCACCTGGCCCACTACCAGTTTAGAGTCGCACTTGATTTTGAGGTGCTTGGCCTTGAGGCCGGCGGCGAGTCTGAGACCGCTGAGGAGGGCCTCATACTCGGCTTCATTGTTGGATACTCTGAAGTTGAAGCGGATGGCATAGTAAGCTCTGAATCCTTCGGGGGATATGAGGACGACGCCGCCACCGCATGATTTCGCGGCCGACGAGCCGTCAGTGAATAGGATCCATGTATCGTCCGGCTCCGGCCCGGGGTTGGCGACGGCCGTCTCCCTTGTTGTGCATTCATTGACGAAGTCAGCCAAGGCTTGCCCTTTGATAGACGGCCTTGGCTTGATCTCAATTTGAAATCGGCTGAGGAAAATTGCCCATTTCACCATCCTAGAGGAGCTGGTGGGGCTCCTCATGAGTGCTCCGAGAGGCTGCTGGGTCAGTACACGGACGTCGTGGGCCTGGAAGTAGTGTCCCATCTTCTTCACCGTATGGACGATGGCCAGCACCGTCTTCTCAATGGGGGAGTACCTGAGCTCGGCCTCCCTGAGTGTCTTGCTGATGTAGAAGATGGCCTTTTGCACCCCTTCGTCCTCATGGATGAGCACGGAGCTGATGGCCGACGTGCTCACCCCTAAGTACAAGAAGAAGGTTTTGCCGGCTTTGGGCTTGGAGAGCACGGGCGGGGACGATAGGTACCTCTTCAATTCTTCGAACGCTTCCTGGCACTCCGTCGTCCAATTGAAGCTGTTGGCTTTGCGCATGATCTGAAAGAATGGGAGTGATCTTTCGGCTGACTTGGAGAGGAAACGGTTCAGGGCCGCCAGGCGCCCCGTCAGTCATTGTACTTCCTTGACGTTGCGGGGCGGCTCCATGTTGATGATAGCCTGTGTCTTCTCCGGGTTTATCTCGATGCCTCTCCGGCTGACCATGTAGCCGAGGAACTTGCCGCCCTGGACGCCGAAGGCGCACTTCTTGGGGTTGAGGCGGAGCCTGAACTCCTTCATAATTTCAAAGATTTCCCGGAGGTCGTCAGCGTGGGAGGAGGCCTGCCCGCTCTTGACGATCATGTCGTCGACGTATGCCTCCATCGTCCGGCCAAGGACCGCTCTGAAGATCTTGGCCACCATCCTAGTATAGGTGGCGCCAGAGTTTTTTAGTCCGAAGGCCATGACGAGGTAGCAAAAGATTCCCATTGGGGTCATGAATGTCGTCTTCTCAGCGTCATCTTCATGCATGGAGATTTGGTGGTACCCTCTGAAAGCGTCAAGGAA